CCCCCGGGACTCTTGGGCTCGGTTGTTGACTGCCGTGAGGGAACGCTGGGATCAAAGGTATTTTGGTATTCTCAAAAAAAAAAAAGGTATTTTGGTGGGATCGCTGGGAATAAACCTCGTGCAGTTACGATTTTACTGGCGACTCGAACCGGCTGGCAGTTGTTTTTGTTCAATTCTCGAGGGGAATATTCGCCCAGTATGTTACCTTATTCCAGTTTTGTTGGCGAGAAAATCATATCTGCATTTTTCGCTTTCTAATTCTAATTCCAATAGTACTAATAAAAGAAAAATCCGTTACGTAGTATTTTTCATTTGGGTGAGATGAGATGAGATATTCGTGCGTGCGGTTGTGGTTGTTGGCGGGGTGGGGTTGGAAAAGAGGAAACCATTGAGGTTGTTGTCACGATCAAGGAGGCATGCAGGAAGAAATACGGGGCAAGTAACAAGGTGACGTGACGGCAGTGGCGGAGCTACCCAACCAAAGCTGGGCGGGCCAATATAAAGGAAGATCATTATATTTTTTTTTGTGGCTCAGTTTATTTTAATCCTACACTGTATTAGCTTTGGAATGGGCGGGCCATAGCCCATTTTCATTACATGTAGCTCCGCCAGTGCATGACGGGGCACTGCTTGCACTCGCATCGCATGCCATGGGAGAGTGTGGACTTTTCAACGCAGAAAAAAATTAGAACTACTTGCACACAAGTGTAAAAATATTGCCTTGCCTGGGCTACTTTTGAAAACAAAATAAAAGAGAATAGAGTGCGACGTGGCTATAGGCTCAGTTCTTTTGAACAATTCTCCCAGAATCTTGAGAATCGATTCTTCACTCAGCTTATCGAGTTCGGTGATGGATCGATCGACGGCTGATCTGATTTGAAGACGACAAAAAAAACGGAGTGAGTCAGTTCGCTGCAGGGGGATATCCGCCCCGCCTTGCTCCCGGCCAGCCTCGTCGGTCAACCACGACGACGACGGCTCCACGAAATTTCCGGCCCGGCCAGGCAATTAACGCAGTAGATCGAGTCAACTCCTGCGGTCGGTCGACGCGCATGGTCCTCTGGTCCTGGTGCCCGATCTATCATGGCTCTCTCTGGCTGCAGCCTCCAGCAGCTTAGCCAAATGTTTAAGACTGTGTCACGTTCAGTGCATGACCACCGTCCGTCCGCCCCTCACACCTTCTGGACCTCGACGCGCATGGGTTGTGAGTTGTGACCAATGATCAACGCAACGCAATTCAATTTGGATGATTAGAGGGACCGTGGTATTCCCAACCCACCAGGCTTTAAATCCTGGTGCTTGCATTTATTCCTGAGTTTATTTCAGGATTTTCGACGACGAGGTGCCCTCTTCCGGAGATGCTCATAGGGATAGGGTATGCGTGTGTGCATTCATAGGGATGAGTGTATGCGTGTGTATATGAGTGCTTGTGTCTGTACTGATGTTTAAAAAAAAAGTCAAAGGACGCTCGTCCTTATCTAAACACGGCAAATCCGTTTTTTTGCGGGAAAAACACAGCAAATCCTTGTATTTACCGTGTTTTATTATTCAGTAATGCTAAAAAAAAAATCTAAAGTTAGATTCTTAATCATGACAAATAAAACGTTTTTATGATCATTATAGTCATTGTGGTGACGGCAATTTCGTTTAGCAGCTTGTCAAATCCTGACAAAAAACTAAACATGGCGAGGATTTGCCATGGTTGCTAAACACATTCAACGAACGTTTGATTTTTAGGCATGGCAAATTGAACGTTTTTCATGCCAAATTGTGTTTGCCAAGGATGCCAGGTTTAGCGGGCAAGCTTGACAAATCCGCATCGATTCAATTTCCCCCCCGAAATTGCCGTACTTGTCAACTAAATTTGTCATCCCTGAGCCAACATAAATTGCCATTAAAAACGTTTGATTTGCTATCGCTAAAAATCAGATGTTACACTCTTAGCATTTCATTTGCGCGTCGGTCAGTCAAGCACGCGCCGTGTCCACATCTTTCCGCTCCCAATTAGGCTCTATCTGAACTTCCCTTGCAGCTCACTCTCGTGTATTTTTCTTTTCCTGCAATAACCATGACATGTCATACCGAATGCCTATATATGGATTATTGGCCTTCCATAGCTTTAGTTTATGTAGGAATATTTTTCCACGAAAAACACTTGGATCTATTGACAGTGTTTGACGTTGATGTTAATATTCCGCGACAAAGGAAGCCGAATTTTTGGGATTTTCTGGACTTCCTTTGAGTCCCACTCTCGTTTTTGTAGGATTACTGTTTTACTATAGTTTTAGTTTCTGTAGGAATATTAACATCAACGTCAAACACTGTCTTGTAGTCATTCGCTGGGAATTGATGGGGAAGATCTTTTTGATATTGTGGAGCAAAGAAGCGGCTCCGATCACACGTCAATGTGGTCTCGACGGAGACCCCGATGATTAACCTAGTATTAACATAAAGTAACGTTGGAGTAGGGGTGTCAGTGTACTCAACACATGCAGAGTATGGACATCTGTCTGTGGTATGTATATTCAATCAGCCAAGTTAGTCGACCGTTTCACTTTATAATACCCGTATGCACGTCATTAGGTGTACCAAACACATTACAAGTAAGGTTAAAACTATGTCATCTGATGCCAATCACGTCATTGGTTTGCTAACCTAGTTTGTTTTCTTGCATTAGCAAATTAACTGCTACGCCCTTCAAGAAAGAAAACGTGGCAGGTGCAGAAGAAAGCCCCTGATAGTAGTATCAAATGTGGCCATCGTTCTGTAATTTTATTACATGCTGTCTGTAGAACCGGCAATAATTTGTGAGCCCGAATTATTGGCCTGTCACAGCTCTGAAAATACTATTAGCATCTTGATGTGTAAAACATGAAGATAACAGTTGACCTAACGACTCGTACTACAGGTAAGAAAACAGTCGACATGGATGGATGTGGCGTGTTGACCGTTGAAGGGGGAACTTTCTTGGTACTGCAGGAATAACACGTCGATGTCAAAGAAAATTAGATGATTGATTAGCTAGGAGATGTGCCAAGACCTTGCTCGCCGGTCTCGCCTTGCGGCTCAGCAAGTCATATCCATAACGCGCGTCATTTATTTCCGGCGGTCCAAGGAGACCCTCCGGTGATGTTCCGCTCATTGGCTGCATCTAGCGACATGCATGCAGTTGCTAGGAGACTCAAGGCTCAAAGTCAGCCGCCGCCGTGCGCAGGGGCAAGCGACGAACGGAAATCGACGAGTTATCAAGCTGTCCATCGGCCGAAAAAGTCCGGGACGCGATGGTGCCAAGCGGATATTCGCGCGAGAAGGCCTCTCGGGATTTGTAGGGAATCAGCTAGCTGGTGCGTTCTTGAACTCTTGAAGAAGGGTCTGATTTGGAGAGTTGGGAACGGAAGAAATATACATATTTAACGTGATAATTGAATACCCAAACCCTTCTCTTATAAACCTTTCACTTTACAAGGGAGGTGCAGAATTTGCTTCGTCTCAGATTTGCTGAATGAGAACGGCTCATGGAAGGTTGGCTTGTTACAGAAATTCTTTATGCCAGCGGATGTTGTGGAAATTTTAAAAATTAGTGCGTCGCCAAGACAGGAGGATGATACGTTGGCGTGGGGCCCTGGCAAGTTTGGCGCCTTTTCAGTGAGGAGTGCGTACCAGTTCGGCTTTGAGGAAGCTCACAGAAGCACTTCGACGGGCTCCAGCTCACATCCAGATGGGCGTCGGGACCGCTGGAAATTTATATGGTCGACTGATGTTCCTCTTTCAGTTCGTAATTTCGCATGGCTGGTCGCTACAAACTCTCTGCCTACATGGAGTAACAAGCATACAAGAGGGTTGAAAACTAGTGCTTTGTGCCCTGTGTGTTCGATAGAGTCTGAGGACTGCTTCCATGCACTATGTCGCTGCACCCTTTCGAGAGTTCTCTGGGATGCTATGGCAGAAGTATGGACTCTTCCAAATATTACTACCGTGCAGAATACAGGTGTCGAGTGGCTGCTGCACGCTCTTGCTCCTCTGCCAGATATTGAGCGTTCGATGCCTCTCATGACATTGTGGAGGGCGTGGCACATACACAATGAGATTGTCCATAATAAATCCCCGCCACCCATGGAGACTTCTCGAAGGTTCTTGATGAGCTACTTGGATTCTCTAATTGGCATTAAAACTGATCTAATTGTTGATCCTAGCAAAGGGAAGTCAATCATAACATATACTTTAGTTCGGCCACATGCGGTAATGGTCGTAGCAGACCCCAAGTGGACTGCTCCTAAGCCCGGCTGGGTTAAATTGTGTACTGATAGTTCATTTGCTGTTGATGGATCGGCCGGTGCCGGAATGGTGTTAAGAGACGACAAGGGAGCCATCATCTTCTCTTCCTGTAGGCAGTTATTTTCTTGCTGTGATGCACTTGAAGCTGAATTATGTGCATGCATGGAAGGTTTATCTTTCTCCATCCATAGAAGTGAGCTACCAGTACAGATCGACATGGATTCTATAATTGTAGTGAAATTGATCCA